TACGATATATGGCCTACTTAACATTAGATACTTTTCATATTTTTCACGTTATCCTAGTTATCTATTAAAACGTGAAAGCGATGATCAAGACGCAATTTTTTATTCTAGATGCAGTTTTCTCTTTTTCATAATAGCTTGTACACCGATGGATGATTGACAAGTGGATTAAGGTTGAGAAGATGTTGTTTGCCATTTAAGAAAATCTGTGTAATAAGACAAATCTTTCTTGCTTTCAATCTTAAGTTCCCAACAAAAGAATTCTGACCGTCTACGATATATGGAAAATTAATGACTTCAACACGTTGTTTCTTGACTTAAGTCAGTCATTTTGCAACATATAACTATGACGTCCTAGGACAACTTGTTTTGCGTAATGTGCAAATGCTGGGCATCATAATATATTTTAATTGTTATCCAAGCAAAATATAACAAAGGATCCAAAACACAAAGGTTTTTGATTGTTTTCTAAGCATAATAAACAAAGGTTATAAGAGCATATTACAAAAAAACTCAGTTAAATAACGCTAAATGTCCCAAGTCCATGACTGCCTCGGTACACACACCCGTTATGGCAATCACCACAAACCACCCTCACTTCCATTTCTTCTTGAATCCAATTAACATCCACTTCAGGATTAATCTGTGAACAAAAGGGAATGAAGACCAGCCTGTTCCTGAAAACTAGAGCATCCACGCGTTTGTCACATGAACATATGAATGACATTCGTACTGAATTTTTGCGAGCAGCACCAAGAATCATAACGGTATCCATGGCTAAGGTTTCCTGAAATTTGCATTAAAAAATGAAAAGAAAGAAAATCAAAAGATTATCAGCCTAAAGCAACATCAGATCCAAAAAGAACAAAAAGCCCTCCTTTTAGAAAGAAAAATAAAGGGAACAAAAATCCTAAAAAGAACAAAGGGTATGCCTTTTTTACTTGATCAGTTGTTTCACTGAAAATGAGAGTTTTAACAAAGAAAATGTACCCGCTTTTGAGGAACACGAGATGACGGCGGGAGAAAGAGATGAAACGGCGGTCGGAAAAAGACGAACCTGCCAAGAAGAGGGGATACAAGCGGCGATGAGAAGATAGTGACTGGTTCTTATCTACATATATATATATATATATATATATATATATATAAGTATAAAGTAAATCCCCTCACTTCTGATGTGATATGGGCTTCAATGTATATTAACTAAAAGCCCATATATGGTATTTTTTATTAAATACTTAATTACTTAGAGGGTGTTATTGGTTAATGTATTTTGACATTTAGAAATTTGTATAGAATTTATAAATCTTATCAAAATATACTGATTTTCAAATCTAATATGTGAATTTTAATAAGTACTTACAAATCTGAGAGTTTTCTTTCGGATTTTAATCCTTGTATTTTTAACAAAGAAATCCACACAAATCCACTCAAATTCATTATAAAATCAAATCCATTAATGAATCCGTATGATTGAATAACACCTGATTTGAATTAGAATTCATAAATCATGGAACCAATAACACTTGGTTTTAACTTGGATTTTAAAATCATAGAACCAATAACACTGAATTTTATCTAGATTTATAAATCCATTAAAATACATATATCTTTATATATAAAGAAGAGTTTTCTCTTATTTCCTTATGCCATGTCATTAAATCAAACTCTCTTCTACTAACATGTGTCGCTTCAAAACAAAACGATGTGTATCATTAAGGGAATCAGCGGTACAACTAAAAACATTTCTGATGGGTCTAAATGGGCTTTTTATTTAGATATCAACGTATTGTAGTATTGTCACGTAGTGAATTAATAATTAAGTCCTTCTATCATATTAAAATAAAATATATTAAAAACACGTGTAAACATGAAGAGAGAGTGAGAGAAGACGACTCAGTCTGTAATAATTGACAAGCCGCAACTCCCACCACCGGTCCAAGCTCTTTCTATAAGATTCACCGGTCGAGTTTACATCGAATAATGATAATAATTAGTAAGATGACAAAATTTCCTGTTAATCTGGTCAAATAATATTTTATTTCTCAACTAAAGAAATACTAGACACTACTATTGGTAGATAATGTTATTGGCTGATTATCCCAATAACCCAATATTAAAATTTAAAAACAGATAAAAATATTTTCTCTTCTACCATTCAACACCCAATTCATTTTTAACTTTTATAGTAATTTGCGTTTAATAAAATTGAACATTATACAGTATTATTTCTAATTCATATTTTTATAATTTAAAAACTACATATTAAATACTATTTTTTAAAAAAGTAATACAAAATTAATATTTTGATCCATTTAACCAAAAAACTTTAAACAAAAACAAAAAAAAAATGAAGGGAAATTTACAGCTGAGTAAAAAAAATCCAAACCCGAAAAACTGAATCGAATCTGATCCAAAAAATAGTATCGAATCTAATAAAAAAATTGGTTAAATATCCAAACGGTTTTAAAATTTTGATGGTTATGTTCCACTCTCTTCCCCATTTTTTCTCTCATATGTTGACACATATTTTTGCTGATTTCACTTTTTGAATTGTTTCAACTCATATTAATTCATGTTTGATTCACAAAAAAAAAATCAACATCTTTACTATAGAGTTTAAGCTGTTAGATTAATGATTCAATACGTCCATTACTGCTAATACTAATATCATTAAAGTAATCCTTGTCAGAAAATTATGATGAACTCAAGGAGACCTTGTTCCAAAATTTTGTTGTCCTCTTCAAAATTTTCAACAATCAATTATGCAAGTCTTATCACACAACAAACTATCAATTTTGCAAGTCTTTTCATATGTCAAATCGTTAATCAGCCACCATCTTCCATCAGTTTTCTATACTAAATTAATTCAAATAGAAAAGTTTTCTTTTCTCGTCTTCATTTAAGATTTTTCAAACTTCATTTCGTCGTTGCTTGCAAGTCTTTCTTTTATTCTAGAATAAGCCCTACTGTTATCAGTGAAATAGATCGGAAATGATAAAATACAAATATTGCCTGTTTCGTAGAAACAAAAACAAATAATCTTCATGGAATTTTTTTCATCGTCCATATCCAAGTTATATTTTTAATTCGCATATAAATGTGCGAATTTAATATGTGTTGACTTTTAATTCTGTAAGTACTGGGAGTTTAAGATCAAAATTAAAGCTAAATTTTTTAAAATACAGTGATTAAAGAAAATACTCGTAATAATTGTTATATCTACAGTTTCATTTTATTCTTTTTATAATTTAATTAGCTAACCATACTTTTAGATTGAATTTGTTTGCGACCTTGGCTGTAATTTAAAAGTATTACATATAAACATATTTTTTTGACAGCACGTAATACTACGATGAATATAGAACACGTAATACTCACAGATAGTATCAAATAACTGTATATTCATTTTTTTCTCTTATTTTGGCTCATATTTTCTAACTATTGGCCACATTGATCGTCACCGTTAGCTCATGAAGCCCACGCCTGTATGTAGCTACGTTTCACTAAAGTCCATTTATTTGTTTATATATATGATTCTGTCCAATTTTATATATATATATATATATATATATATATATATATATATATATGTGTATATATATTATGTTGCAAATATTTTGATTTTTCCAACAAATATTCCTTCAACTGTGTGTGGTTAAATCAAATATTTTTATACAATTAAATATATTTAGAAAAATTTTAAATATGGATTTTATATCTGTTTTATTGTTTAGACTAATTTAAGATCCAAAAGTTTGAAAATAGTATCGCATTTTGTAGAACTTGAAACTATTATTACTGGTTAATATTTTTTGAAGAAATAAAATTTGATTATGAAGATTTTTTTAAAAGACGCAAAAATAAAAATCATAGATGGAAGATCAAAATATAGATTTTTCATAGATGAAAAATCAAAACATGTACCTGTAAAAACATTTTTAACAAAATAAACGATAAAATATTGATTTTTACTTAATTAATTTTTTAATATTATTATTGATTTTTTGTGTTTAAAGTATTTGGGGAAAAGCCTAGCAAACTATGTCTCATTATGTTTTCGAACGACTGCATTTCTTTATGTGTAGCCTTTTCATTCTATTGCTTCGATAATTGAATGCATTGTGAATGATAATTCGTCTAAATTCATCTGATCATTAACACCAACTTAATCATCGTTTTCTAGTGGCAAACTTGGTAACTCGTTGCTCAACAAAGGCTGCAGACTTGAAGATGATTGTCTTGGTAAGTCATAATCATCGACTATCATTTTGCAGTTTGCTTGTAAAGTCCGAAACTAGTTTCCTCATTTACATACAATATATTTCTATGCAGAAGAACCGAACCAGTTAAATATACAAGCGTTCGAAAGCAGCCAGCTGACAACCTTTTTTGTGCCTTATGACTGTGTTATTATATCTGTAGAGCGTCCCCACAGAATGATATAGACTTGAAAATCGGTTACGAAATAACACTATGAGATAATCATTCTATCCTCTTTTTTTCAGAAGTTGGAGATCCTTCCAGTAAACGATATATATATGGATGATGAACTAATTTTTATACTTTTGCGTTCAGTCCACATAACTTTTTTTTGGTATAGATTGTAGTTACGTAGCACGTTCTGATTCTTGATTTTATGATTATTCTAGATCTTGAAGAGAGTTAATTGATTATTCTCAAATTGGCCATCATATTCGTACAAAATGTACAAATCCCACAATTCACTTGTATATAAGAAATTAATAACAGCTGTAGTGCTATGTATGTAATCACGAATGGGAAATAATCTAGCTTGTACATATATTAATATATAATCAAATCATACATCATATAAATTGACACAAGTCTCACGAACTAGCATGATCAGAAAGACATTTTGAGCTATTAAGCAAGTTATAAAAGCTCTTTAATTGTGGATGCATTACTCTTGATACCGACACTACCAACTAGTGTGTGTTGTAGATAACTCTAACATGAGTTTATCTTTATCTCTATACTAACTAGTCTAAGATATTTTGAGGTGGAATAAAGTAAGGGGCCGAGTAATGACGAGTTCTACTAAAGCCCAAGGTGTAGTCAGCCACATCATAATATGCGAATTCCTCAAAATCTAAGATGTAAACGAAGTTCGGCTCCGTGCCAGGAAGGGAAGTAGCAGGGACACAGAAAGGTTCCGACCTCGAGATGAAAATGCAGAGATCTCCAATGTCTTGAGTGTAAACCGCGTTACCTTCTTCGTCTAACTTCAACACCATTACATACTCTGTTTTCAATTTGGCAACACCTTTTTCAGTGATCTCAGCAGTTTTCTTATACTGCTTAACCAAGAAAGTTTCGCCAGTGGTTACTGACTCCACCAAGTTACAAGAGGAGGCAGTGGGATGTGTTTAGGGTCTGTATCCGATGCAGACGGGTTTAGATCGTCTTGGAGACGCAATAAGTCGTCTTCCTTCAAAGTAGCCACCCAGCCATGGGATGAACCGATTGTTACCATTGTTTTAAATATATCGTTGTACAGCAACTCCCCTGGGACCTTCTTTTCCAACTGAATTTCAGTACTAACAGGTTTATTAGCATGGCTAATGCTGAGTCTTCCGAGAAAACCCTCTCCACAAGGTTCAGCGCCAGTGATGAAGTAAGGAGGGGTTTGCTTTTGGATTGATGAAGAAGAGAAGGCATTAGAGACAAGTAGAAGAGTTGATCTTCTAGCTTCCCCAAAACGGAGCTTGGAGAGCCGGCTTAGAAGCATAGACATTATGAATGTAGAGATATGTTCTTAATGAAAAATGAAAAAACCCTAATTTTAGAAGGAAAATATATCATGTCCACACCAAAAAAACCTCCATTAATACAGAGGAATTGCCTTGCACACCAAGTTCATGTCAGACGCTGTCGTTTACAATATTTATATCAAATATATTTGTGGAATAATAAATATGGAAGCAAATCTCGCCAAAAAAATCGTTTAAAAAAAAAAAGGAAAGATAAAAAATCTCGCTAAAAATAGTACGATTTATTTATTTTTGGTTGCCAAATATACTTATTAGAACTCAATGTTAGCGAGACCACCTCATCGTTCTCGTCTCTCTTTTTCATAAAGTCTTATTAGTGAATTATTCTTACGATATTGTTTGAGACTTCAACACATTTTTCTTTCCGACAGACTTCAATACATTTTCCATGACTCATCAGCTTTTACCAAAATAATATTTTTAACAAGAAGCTTGCTTAATATTAATTATTTCTCTTCTCGGTTTAGACTCAATTGACCTCAAGAACTGTATTCTGTTTTTAAAAGAAAAATACAGGTTTTATAATGAATTTTGTCATGAACAATAAAAATGCAGGTTTTATAATGATTTTTGTCATGAACAATAAAAATGCAGAGGAAACATCGTGGTCCACGGGGATAGCACTATGTACAATATGTCATGCGGAGGTAGAGTAAACTTATTTCTCCTCCTTTTTCTTCATTGGTGACAATCTTATTCTTTACATCGCCTCTTCACCGTTGGTGCATGCATTGATAATGATAAGGGTTTGAGGACAACGATGTAGAACGATGGATTTTAGGACTGGATGGTAAATAACAATATGATATCCTTTGTATCTTGAGATTTGCATGAAAAGGTTAATTAGATTTTCATATAGGGTTTATGGATCCTCTAATGAGATGAAGAGCATTATAGTGGGAGATATACCCAAGGTAATATGAGAGATATCTAAAACCATAAAGGAGCATTTAGTTACTTTTGAANTTGCATGAAAAGGTTAATTAGATTTTCATATAGGGTTTATGGATCCTCTAATGAGATGAAGAGCATTATAGTGGGAGATATACCCAAGGTAATATGAGAGATATCTAAAACCATAAAGGAGCATTTAGTTACTTTTGAATTCTGCAACATGCTTCCTCTGAGAGATCAAACTTACAAAAGGTGGAATTTTGGCAGGTAACTATGAGCAGAAATTTCTCCAAAGCATGACACATATCAACTATCTGAATTTTGAAAATATAAGTATTTGTGATATGATTTGTTTGGGTTGAATTATCAGTTTTATAATTCGATTTATTCCAGCACCATCCGACCAAATATTTTGTATCTGAATATTTATATATTATGAATCGGATATTTGTTTCAAACAAATAAATAAAAATAAAATTTTTAAATTAGTGAAAGTAGTAATATTTCATTACAAAAAAGAAATTGTCATCTTTTAGAATAGCAGTATTGTGAGCTTAAAACAGCATTTCAAAATATCCAGGCCCGTTAATAAGCAGCAAAGCACAAAGATATTTCTCCTCAGTCTATAGTTTATAAACAGCATTTAGTATTGAAAGAGAAACAATTATCGTTGTGGGCCTAGAGATTTACCCCATTATATAGCAAAAGAACAAGAAGTAAAATAAATAAATATCTGAAGCCAGTAGAACCGTGTATATCACTCAAGTGCTGTGAATTTGAGTGTGAACCGATGCATCCCCGGTGGTGCTTTCGTCTGTGGATTTTCAAGCTGCAGACTCAATCATTGTGGTGGTTAGTTATCTTCTTCTTCTCTTTGTAAACTCAATTTCACATATGCACTGGTTTGAAATGGCTTGATTTAGGAAACCAGTTATTGCTGCATTGGATTTTTTTTTAGTCATTGAGTCGTCCTTGTGTTTGATATCTATGTGGATGGCAGAGGAAAGGTTGGTCCGTGTTGAGCTTATTTTTGCCATTAAAAAAGAAAGGTACTGTGAGATTCAGAGGGAGACAAGACTAGTGTCTGATGATATTTCTATACTGAAGAAAGAGAGTACAAGTGTTAATCTCTCAATGTCTTGTAGTGGTTTAGCAGGAGGTAATGTCTCATTATGTTTTCGAACGACTGTACTTTTTTTTTTTTGTATGTTTGACCTTTGATTCCATTGCTTCTCTAGTAGAGAAACTTATTTCTTCCTAAGACAGGATCAAGCAATTTCCGTTTATTGCTTGGCTGAAAACCGAATGAATCTTCAAACATATCCAAATATATATATATATATATATATATATAATATAATATTTTAAATTTATATTTATAATAGTATCAATACCTAAAATTAAATTCATAAATCAAATATATTAGTTATTTTAGATATTTGTAGATAAAAATAGATGTTTTGAACAAAAATACTCAAATAACATTATATATATGGTTACTTTCCGACAAAAATAGCTAATTTGAACTATATAAATTGAGTATTTTTGGATTTTTAAATTATTTTAGATAAGTTTGAGTAGTTTGGATATAAAATATCCGAGTCGAATGGAGTAATTTGGTTATTTCGGATAAAATCCGAACCCACCTGGATCTGGGAGGATCTGACTCGAATCCGTCCCAGTTTTTTTGTAATATCCGAATGAGACAATTTTTTAAAATAAAAAAAAATCAATATTCGAATGGATAATATCCATACTCGAAAGCGTACTCGAATGCCCAGACCTATTAAACACTATGGGCCATGAACTAGGCATGCGTAGAAGAATCCTTACTCAGTAAGTCAAGCATGTGACTGAAGCCGTTGAGTATTATAAATATTGAAATCGTTCAATAACTTACATAATCTACATCGGATGAGTATGAGTTGGTTACAAGTAAAGTAAGTATTAGATTTAGAGGTTATAGTTATTGACTCCATATCTCAATTGGCCTTGGGAGCCATCAGATCCTAAGAAATAAATTACGGTAAAGAGTAATCTGAGAAAATATGTTCTTAATTACAAAAAAAAAAGACAAGGAGGGAGAGGGAGAACAAATTTCCTCGAAATTTCTGAGATACTATTAATATTGAATTGGTTACACTTTAATACACATTCTATCTTTGTCTTACATAATAAGACACATTGCACATGTAAAACACTTTTCCTCTACTTTTCTTTGTCGTGAGACATAACAAAGATAATACTAACCTTCAACAAAATGCATTGTTGACAAAAAAGAATTGTGGACGCATTGTAAACAAAAAAAGAATTGTGGACAAAATTTAAACGAACGTGAAGGTTAGATTTCATCAAGTATATAAATTTAATGTTTGTATTCGCTGCAGAAAAAAAATACAAAAGAGAATATTTTCTGTGGATAACCTCTCAGCTTACAGAATGTTGTGGTTTGGAGTTGAACTTGTTATAGCATCCACTACTGCAACAACAACAACAATTTTATGAATTTATCCGTTGGATGTGGATGGCTCACTTGCAACCACTTCACCAAACAATACGTCACCATAAGCCACCCACTAGTTCCCATAGATCTATTCAATCATTCACACATAATTCATCCACCCTCCAGTTATGCATACACCACTTATCCACGCAACTCCCATCCACACGCTATCTATCCACATCTTTTGCAAATCTGAGTTTTGAAATCGAAACATTGCAGATATAGGTTTTGAAATTCACAACACAAGTGTAATCCTTACCTCCATTTCTTCACTCCGATTTCACTCCTCAACGACCAGAACTGCCATTGTTTGAAGATTTTAAGGCTTTGAAGAGATTATAGTTTCTGAGAAATTAAGATGCTTTTTCAATGGAATGGTTTTTATGAAGAAAAGAGATTCCACCATTGTAGTACATATGAAATGTGTGAGGAAATGGAAAAATTAAATAGAGAGCGAGAGAGAGGAATAGGATGATTACACAGAGAAAATAATGGTTGAGTTGAAAGAAGGGTAAGATGGACAAAGAACACTCATAATATGTCTGTCAAGTGGAATGTGACTTAGAATGAAATTACAAAATGATAAAATGTCTTAGAAAGTAAAAAATTCTTAACTATTTTTGAGACGGCTACTCTTATTTTGTTTTGTACATTGTAACATACATATATCCCATTTATGTCCAACATACAAAATTTTCCAGTTTTCTGTGAAATTCTTGTTTCAAAGTTATCCAATATAATGTTAGTCTTATTAACATTAACTAATAAAAGCGAAAATAACTTCAAGCAAATTAAGCAAATAAAGGGAATCTAACAAGAGGTGAGGTGGCCATCAAATAACTTTATTTACGATAATGCATGGTAGTTCTTAATTATAACTAGTAAGAAAATAGTTTTTCTTTGGGTAATCCAGTAAGAAAATAGTTATCATTCCAAAATGTAGTATTGTTTATAATATGAAATTATGCGAATGCAATTATAATTTTGATATTTTTGTACAAAAATCGCTAATTAAAATTCCTAAACAGATTTATACAGGAAGAACAATAAATGTTAAAATAATGAAAAAATAAATTATTTTTCGTGTAGGTCTGTTTTATAAATAAAATATTTTAGTTCAGACTTTGTAACTTCAATTAATTCAATTTTATGACGCCGAAGTTATAGTTTCTAACTTCCTTCATGCAGTGCCGATATGGTAAAATTATTACATCCTATGTACCGTTAATACGTTGTGATAGAGTTCTTATTGCATGCATTAATACATTATATTACCAATAGCCACATAATGTGAGAGAGAAAAGTGTTTTTCCTATAAAGAGAAGTTCATTATTCACTCAAACCTAAATACAAAAAAGATTAAAAAAAAATGTTTCGAGCTTTCCCCAAACCAGTCGGAGTTCCTCTGACAACCAACACCAGACGTCCACTCAGCGACCGGACAGACCGTGACCCTTTCGCTATGAGGGATCAGGATATGCCTAGAGAGGGTGAAAATCTTATTCTTTACATCGCCTCTTCACCGTTGGTGCATGCATTGATAATGATAAGGGTTTGAGGACAACG